GTACATGTACATGTACATGCCGGGTACGTACACACATCTCTATGATGTACATGTGTTTGTCTCTTTTCATCACGTGCATACTGACTATAATATCCAATGTGATCAACTGCACATAAAAAAGATGGGAAAAAAGGACTAGGGACAAAGTTTTTAATTTTATTCAGGCTTGAAGAAAACACAAACTCTACAATGACTTCATACCGTACATGTAGTTCACTCTCAGCAATGCAGTGGCATTTGTTTACATGTACATGTACATGCATGTGTACATAGGTGATGATGTCACTATGCTGAACACATTTGTGCAAAGGTGTCAATCTATTACCATGGCAACACATAATTTTACCTTGATCACAGTTACATGTAAGTCAAAATTTCAAAAGAAATCCCTATGATGGAGGGACATGTATGACAAAGGAACAATACTAGAGTTTAGATCACGTAAAGTATAAACAAAGCATTTTAAGAAAATACCATTAATCGTCCTTTCAAAAAGGCATGGAGTATAGCTCCATGAAACAGGCACCAGTCACTTCAGGCTGAGAAATTCCTGAGTCTGATTAGCCAATATTGACTCATTAATATTCATAATCTTAATCCATAGCAAAGACTTGCAAGAAATTTCCTGAATTTTCTTTTTCGTGTGAGCTTTACAATTTGAAATTTGTAAATATTTTTTTATCCCAAATCTGCAATGTAACTCTGTGTGGAATTTGGAAAGGGCAGGGCTTGAATTGGAATTGGCCACAGATGTACATGTATGTACAATGTAATACAATGAAAATATTTAAATGAAAATGAAAAAATGATTGTTTTGCAGGTATACTTCTTCAATCTACATGTATGATGTTGTGAATAAAATGCCTTGCTTGTCATCTAAACCCACAATAAATTGCAATCATCAAAAAGATTTATTAACCATTGCTTGACTGGTGCGTGCAGATGTCATTTTGTTTATTTAAAAACATCTTTTTCTCAATCACAAAGACATGGATGTTCACTATTTCTAATGCCAAATGGCATTTGAATATGTGATACGTGATCAGCGGCAGATCCCGCATTTCCCAAGGAGGGAGAAGCGGAGACACGCACAAATCCAGACAACCATAAAACCTGAACATCGTCAAATACACAAAGCATTACCAACAGTAGTTGAGAGCAGAAGCACAGAGAACAAGATACCTGCGAGGTGTCAAGGTATCGTATAGGCCTATGCTTCACAAAAGTTTTAAATTGGGGGGGGGATGCACCAGTAGCACCAACCCCTGGAACTTTGGGGTTCATCATACACTTCTCTACACAAATGAAGTACACGACAAACCCCATAGACTGGAGGTAGGTGGCACCCCCTCCACATGAATTTACAAATTGTTTTCTGAAGCATAGCCTAGGAAAACAGTTGTTCAGAACGATCTTGACTCTTGTGCAAATATATTGTACTCCACTGGGTTAGGCCTAATTATCCTGTGAACGGACTTCATTTAACGGCAAATCAATTCAGGATGCAGTCCAATAAATTTGCATATGATCGATATTTCCTCCATACCCCTCATGCCAAGTTAGGCATAACGTTAGCAAGGCTATGTTCCTACATGTCCTACTTCCATGACTTCATCATGTTCATCATACAGCCATTTTCTTTTTCTAACCTGTAGCTTCGGCAGCCTGCTTCAACACCATCTCAAGCTTCTCCTTACTTCGACCAGCAACTGCCCAGGTCAAGCTACCGGCCATGCCCTCCTCCTCGGCAACACGGGCCAACTCCTCTACCACATACTGTCCGGTGAAACCGCTCGCCCCAAATATGATGATGCTGAACGGCCTGTCTTCGGCTTCGCCTGCTTCTGCCATGTTGAGTCTGGGACTGTGGGATGGGAGTAAGCAACGAGTGTGAAACAGGTTGAGCTTCTCTGCTGAAGTGTTCTTCCGTGATCTGCTTCAAAATACTATTCTGACATGCACTGAGACAAAAACAGAGCACGGGTTTGCCACGTCTGTAGACCTACGTGTACTTGAGTCCTAGGTCATCAGCCCACTCTCATGCGAACCTGAACACATTTAATTTTTCAACGTAGGCCTAGGCCCAAATGTGATTTATATTATTATTTTAATGCATGTGTGACATTTCACACATGCACCCATCAACCTCGTCTCCACAAAGCCCAGCAATAACTCACCACTAGAAGCCAGCTACTAACAAAAGTTGTATACCCATAGAACAAGGATGACACAACGGAAAGACTGGAAAGCAGACCCAGGCAAACGCCAGTTCACAAATTTAACTGCATTCTTGTGTGCCTTGTTGGTGGTTCGGTTATCGCTGCGTGGGTAGTAGCAGGCATGTGCTGTGAGTGTGAACATTTATTTAAATCAATACAGCACATTTAGGCCAGTCTCGATGCAATGCTTAGGAAGAGTAAAATCTCGTCCCCCCAGGTTATTAAGATGTTCTGAGTTTATGAACGAATTCTTACTACAGAGCGCGGGGGATGACAGTACGGGCGCACTCCTTATTAAAGTTATGAGAACGAGATTGAACGATTAACAAGTCAGGGTGTAATCCACTAATTCAGGCCGTATTGAAAACAGTGTAAAATCAGCATTGTTCGGGGCCCAAAAACATGCGTACCAACATCCCTGAGGTATCTGAAACACACGTTAAATTATTGTATGGTCCATAATCTTTTACTTTCTTTTCAATTTTCTGTGGGTAAACCGATTACATTTTGAGTTATTCCCTCAAAACAAAATTACCCCCCCCAAAAAAAGTGATTTTTCCAAAGTCTGCTTGCAGCCATTTTTCAAGTGACAACCCTCAACTTGGGGCACTTAGGACTATTTTTCAACAGTATTTTGTAGCCATTCTGCTCTCAGATGAAAGCCCATGGCAAAGACCCAGGGAGTTGATTCTGGCAAAGATTTACACAATCACCATTTTTGGGCCATACAATCTCCTTTATGAAAATATACTGGGGGGGGGGACTTTTAATGCTAATGAGCTGGCCAGAAATTCTCGCTTGAATTAGTGGACTGCACCGTAAGTACCTGGTACCTCTACATGCGCGCGCGTACTGTTCTCCTCGGGGAGCAGGGCGCCCGCGCGTGGTCTGTACTCAAAGAGGTGCGTTCGAGCGAGCAGTATCACTCGAACGGCTGTAGTACGACCATAGAGTTCTATGCTTGGACAAAGGTTTATGTATGAATCATGGATGTCCATGCTATAAACGAGAATAATGCTTATTCATGGTCGTCTTGCGCTGGTGATTTAACTTTCTCAAGCTTGCGACAGCTAGAAAAAAATGAAAAAAGGTTTGACAGTGATATCTTATAATACGGTACGGGAGGTGTACATGTATATTTTTCGCTCTCCAAACTCTATGGGTGCGTTCGCGCGGTTGCTCCTGTTACCACGAGTAGGATGCCTACGCATTGCACTCAAGTACAGGAGTACACTCCCCATCTAGCGAGGTATATTTTTCTCGAAGCCCATTTTAGAAAATACATTTTTTTCCAATTTCTTTTGTTTGTGCGACATACATTTTCCCCCAAAGTTCGTTTGTTCGCGACATACATTCTCCAGTTTGTTCTAATGAGATCTATAAATTAGAAATATTTCTCTTTTGGAAACAAATAGTTTTACGAGATACATTTTTGATGAAGTTTTTTATGAGATATTTTTTCCAAGTTAATTTTCAGGAGATATAAATTGTCAGGTTTGGATTTGTTCTCACAAAAAGAATTTTAAAAATATACCTCTTAAAAACGAACTTGGGAAATATATCTTTCACGTTTTGAAAATACATACTTGACAGCACTCCAGGGCTTCCGTCTCATCTCACTATCTTCAGGACACGGAAAAGTGGAAACAGTGCCCGCTCAAAGGACGGATCAAGAAGCTTTTTTTTGGGGGGGCGGCAATTTTTGGGGGGGTTCTTCATGGGACCGTCAATAACCTTTCTAAGAGGGTAAGACTACATTTTGAGACCTTTTACTCGGTTTGGAGATGGCACTGATGATGATCTACATGTACGCGTATCACTATGTTCACTGCAGTGCATGGTGGGGGGGTAGAATAGGAGTCGTCCGGAGGCATAAATCGGTGCCGAAAATTTGGGGAATCGGGATGATGAGATATGAGGAATTGTAGAGTGACTTGCCCAGCCATGGAATCTGAAAAGTGGGGGAGGGGCATCACCATAAGACACTGGGGTCGATGTTCATTGATACAGACGTACAACTGTGTATTCCAATGCTAAAGAACCTTCTATATCGGAATGGTATATTTTTGTTCTCCCTGTTTGAGTGCTATTGAATACATTTTGGCTGTTGGGAAGTCCGAAAAATTCTTCACAATTTGCATTATTTTTTTCTCACCACAAAAAATTGGTGGATAATGCAATAGCACATCTCCTGGTCAAAAAGCGTGTGTGGTGTGTGTGGGTGGGGGGGGTGTTTAGATATACCCCCATTCCCCTGGGATTTACGCCTACACGGGATCGTCCTACACCAAGAGCAGAAGTAGCTCACGTACAAGTTACATTCACATGGAATTGAGAGGCACAACCTTTACATTTTCAAATTGTTGAGGATAATTTCCCTAATTTTTGAAAACGATGGGGGCGCTCTATACTTAGGAGCCATAAAACCAGCGGGGGAGCGGGTTAGCGTAGCGGGGGTCTTTCGTCGCTTTGTACCAATGAGGCCCGGGTTCGAGTCCTGGCTTGGTCCAGGCTTTAAGTGCATTTGGTTTCCAGTCCATACTCGCTCTCGCAGGTTTTCTCCGGGTACTCCGGTTTCCTCCTGCCTCTAAAACTGGACCTTCTTCCTAACCCCGTAATATGATGCTGATTAATAACGTGTATGAATAAACGTACAGTTATTGGCGTAAATAGCCCGAGTTGCTGAAAGCACCATTAAAACAAAACAACAACAGGTACCTAGACAATCGGATACCGGCCCGAACAAAAGCACCCCCTCATCGGTTGAAAAGAGCCATGTTGGTGGGAGTATTCATTTTGTTGGTAGCGGTTCGACAGGCTGCAACGCTTGCGTTTCATAGTCGTTTGCTGACCAGCGATCCGCAGCTACTACCTAAAGGTTCATTCCAAATGGTTGTATTTCTACGCGCGATCCCACTTCTTCTTTTTTTTTTACAATAAGATATGCCATAATCAGGAGAGATCAAAGAAATATTTTTCTAAATCCCGAAAATGGGACTGAAAGTTTCCAGTTCCGGATATTTCTTTCCCAGAAAGCCCAAAATGCAGGCCTATTTTGGATAGAGGCGGGCGGCTACATTCAGTGCCGAGCGCACAGTTTACTACTATTTTGGGGGTTTCTTTGGGGAAAGGCGAATGACTAACCCCCATAAAATTGAAACAAAAAGTGATCTTCTGGCCATAATCTTAAATTTCCAGTGAAAAAACGGAGGCCAACCTCTTCCCAAGAGTCGACAGGCGGTGCTATTTCGGTCTCATTTTGCACTGTTCTGTGGACGCGTAGTTGGTGTAGTGAGGGTGCACCTGCGTAAGTAGGCCAGAAATATATCCGCCGAGTTCATTAATAAAAGTTATACAC